TGAAAGCCTATTTGGGTTATTTGACGTGGCTGTATTTCTAGATTTTTAATTTTGTAATCATTCAGATATTTTTCATCACTTATTTCTACTACCCCATGCTACCATAAGTTTCCTGCCAGAAAATGGTAAATAACATCGAGCAATAAAGTTTCTTCAACCACATTTGTGTTTTCCGCTATTGCGATACCAAACAGAACTTTCAGGACTAGCGTTTTAATAAGTATGAGAACTAAATGCTTTTTCAAAAAGTAGATCCTTATGCTGAATTTTTAACCTTTTTTTCTGATAAATGTAAAAAGGTTAGTTACAAATCACTCCTCTAGACGAAGTCTAGGGATTGATGATTATTAAAATTTTGGAATACTGATTGTACACTAGCATCTCTGTTTTCCGACTCTATCACGATTCAATCATTAAAGAGTAATTCTGCCTTCCGTGTCCATTTGCATACTGGAAAAGTTTGCATGAAACGCAAAAAACGACACCATACGGATAGACAACAGATGCACAACAAATCGCGCAAAAGACGTACCAGCCATCTACCAATTGATTTCATTCTCAATTTGCTAGTATACGCCACGTCAAATGTTAGGTTAAAAACCGCTCCCGTTTACCTAGATATGGAACATAGATTTGAGATTATCGTTGCAGCACCTTCTAAAACATCGACACACATGGCAACCTAAAATCAGGCTGACACCAATTCTGGTTATTAACGGCTGATGACTGTGGGAAATGTTTGAGCAACTAGTTCTAGGTTATGAGAGATCCACTGGGTATTTAGGTTACATAGAGTTTGGTAGTTAGGCTGCATCCAATTTTGCACTTTTTTAACCAATCCATATGACCACAAATAGTACATTCGGCCTTTGAATTAGACAAGTTGGACTACAAATTCACCGTACTCCTGCGTTTCTGCAAATTCATTACCATACTGCGGAAAGCGCAATATTTGTACAGGATTGATTAATGCCATGAAGAAAATCAGAAACAGAAAATTCTAACTTATTTGCATTTATATTGCAGATACCAAGCTTTCGAAATATGCAAAATTGAGCTTTTATAACAAGGATATGCACATTCCTATGGCTTAGCTATTACTTACGAGTTTTTCTAGGCTAAGAGAGATAAATTCGCAGCTTACGAAAAGTTTTGTCAGATGTTCAGCAGTATCAACTCAATTCTGGCAGATAGCAGTTCTTGAATTTTTGAAAAAGAGCTTTACAGAGTCTGCTATTGACTTCGTTGCAACTCAACTCTTGAAATTCAACCCTGTTGCTCACCTGGCATTGCACAGAATCTCTTGGAAAACTTATTTTGCATCACCTAAGAGTTTTTATCTCTGGAGAAAAGTAAGAAAATAAAAACAACGAATTAACCTTCTGTGAGGTCCAACGCGTTTTTTGATGTCTACCACACCTTCAACGGGATGTACAGCTTCATAGTTTGCAACCTAAAATCATAATGAATGTAAAGCTGCGTCAGTCCTACCACATGATCTCTAAATAATTTTTGATTTGTCTCCAAAATTGAAAGAAAATTTACTTCCTTATGTCAACTTCTATAGTGGACTAATTGATGTAAGTAAGATTTCAATTAAAAACACCTTTTGAAGAATATCTGCTGGTGATTGCCACGTCAATCGCTCGAGTTTCAGGTTGCTCTGACAGAACCACAATACGAGAAGCTCTCGTGCTGATCTTTCCAAACGGCGAAACGCAGAAACCGCTGATTTATCGTCCTCATTTTTTATTAAACGCTATAAATTAACACTAATCGATCATCACTTATACATAGCGCAACATCTACTAGTTGAATGGATTTTTATTTTATACCCCACTCGAACATCGATCCTTGAACACAGTTCCAGTCTTGCTGGTATAAGATATCAGACTTGCTATGCACACTTAGAAAGTTGTGCCTCAGTAAGATTATGTTGCCACTTCTACTCACTAATCGAAAAAATTGAGCTAACCAAAAGATGTGCTCTCATGTCGCAAATTACTCGTATTCCACCAGGGAGATTTCCAATAGACTGCAGAAGTCGGAAATGTACGGGTGTTGCAGCTTCACGAACTTCGTGTACCATACTTGAATTCTGAAAAAACGATCACAAAATAGTTTTTATTTTGATAGTCTGCGTGAGATTGACGTATACCTTTTTGTAAAGCAGTATAGCGTTCTCAAGCGCTGACATCTCTGGACCACAAGTATTGGCAATACTAAGCAGAAGACTCTTCTTCTCATCTTCTGCCTTTGAATCATATGCTTCAACAACTCGTTTACCTGCAGCCTTAACTAAGGTTACGCTTATCTTAAATCGAGTAATAAAAGGATCTGAAGATTGATGTATATTTATGGCACCAACAATTTTTTCTTTTTATCTGCTCACACACTCTTCACGAATGCAGAATAAATATCTGACGTTAACCGCATATTTAATCTTTTGTTAGGTAAACAAAAACCGTAAAAGTTTATTTACCTCTAAAAATCAGGGTTGAGTCACTGCGAAATCTCCCAAATAAATATTACAGAACTCTCTCTGAGCGGATCCTCAGCTATCTCATCCCCTTTTCCCTTGCTAATTTACAGTGGGGTGTCCTTTGTGACGCCATCGTAAACCTCTCTTTTTCACAACTGACTATACCTCCTTCGCTTGAAGGAGCTAAAAACCGCTTTAAGGTATGATTTTGCTGAATCCTTGAAGGCGGACTCAATTCTTGAAATTGATCGCAATTCCGCATGTACATTGTTATTGTAATATTTGTCTATGCAACTCCCACGCCCTTCGGCAATCTTCTTTTTCGATGAACACAGCTTCCCTTAAAAATTTTGAGCGAGGAAAGACCCAACAAGACGGTTACCGCTTTTACCATGGTCCTTGTCCAAACTTTCCGATGCTGAACTTCCTTCTGCAGCGTCTCGATTAACTTCAATTACACATCCTCAGAAGGAAGCAAGATTCACACTGCATTCTCCTAAGAATGTGTAATTGAAGTTCATGATGTGGAGCAAATTAATTTGACAACAAACTTAAAGCTTCCAATATTCTTTGATGATTCACAACATCACCATTCAGCTAATTTCATGTACTCAGTGATAGAATTAAAAGCCATTTGCAGACACTTTCTGGCTCGTTGCTACTCACTGTAAATCGTAGCTTAAAGCATCTTTGAAGTTCTTTTGAACATCTACGAAGTTTGTGCCAACTTACGCTCTCGTCACGAAACTAGATCTGAGTGGATCGCTTTTAATGTGCTATATGGGCAAGAAAATCGCCTCACATTTTGATAGGACCTACTCTACCTTCGTCACAAATTATATGGATGAGGAAACATGTACAATTAATAAGCTAGGCACTAAACCTTCGAACACAAACTTTGGCTGCATTTCAAGACATGGGAACGAAGATCGAAAACACCAAAGCTTCAGATTTGAAGTTTCTATAGGAGAAAAAGCTTCCGACAAGCTTAACATTCTAGCATCAATATCAGTGTGCCAAGATGAGCAACCCGTTGTGAAGGTTCTACCATACAAATATTAATACTTTCCACTTAATAGTTAGAATGCCTCACTCTTAATTTACTTCTAAACAGTAACCTTTTCTTGTACTGTGTGGAATGTGATCCTGCGCTGTCTCAAAGCGGCAAAATGTGATTTTGATAGTATTGCAGAAATTCAAATTTAATCCCTACCAAAAATTGATATGGGGTTTTTCTGAGGTTGAGTCCCTTCAATACTTCATTTA